AGAGGTTATCCCTGAAAGACAAACTATTATTCATGACAAACTGGGGCCTTTTATTTCCCTGGATTCTTTTATTATAGGTGCAATGAGGCACAAGGTGCACACAAGATTCTAACCTGAGTTCTGTTATCATTTCAGTTAGAAATTTAATAATATATAGTAAATGTATGCAATAAAATATATTAACATGTTCTAATCACAGATTCATGTCAAGTATAAATAATTAAAGTTAGATTTGTAGTTAACTTATTCACTTTTAGGAAATCTATACATATATAAATATTTCTTGACCCAAAATAATGATTGCAGATTTCTCTTCTCTATTTAGTCTTTCTAAGTAACATCATCCATGCTGATGACTCTTCAAATGTGTATCTTCAGCCCTGACCTTACCCTTGAATGCCGATCACATTACTCCAACAACCCACTTGACGTCTTCACTCAGATGTCTAACAGAATATGGACAAAACAGAACTTTTGATTCTGTCTCAACCCCCAAGACTTTCTCTTTCAGTCTCCACTAATTTTGTAAATATAATCACCATATGCTCAGCTTTTAATGTTGAAAACTTAGAATCATCTTTGATTCTTTTCTTAGCTCCATATCAAATTCATCAGCAAGCATTATTAACTCTATAGCTCCAGAAACTGTGCATTTAATTTTCTCTATTTCCTCTCCTATCACCTCAGTCCTATTCACCCTCATCTCCTACCTGTACAATGTAAAAGTTTCTTAACTAATCAGCCTATTCCTATTCTTACCCTCTATTCTCCATACCATAGCCAGAATGGATTTTTCAAAATATAAATCAATGTTTCAACAATTGGTTTTGGGGCATTTGGATATTCATAGGCAAAACAGAAAAATAGGCAGGAAATCTCAACCTAAACTTTACACTTATACAAAAGTGAACTCAGATGATAGACTTAACTGTAAAATGTAAAATTGTAAAACTTTTGGAAAACTATGGAAGAAAATATCTGGGATATAAATGTAGGCACATACTTTTTTGACTTGAGACTAAAGCATAATTTATAAAAGGAAAAAATGCTAACTTGGACCTCATAAAAATTAAAAACTTTTGCTTTGTGAAAGACTACAGAAAAAGGTTGAAAAGACAGGCTACAGACTTATTTTGTGGAGAAAATATTATATTGTGGAGAAAATATTTTCCAACCGTGAATCAAATAAAAGACTAACACTTAGAATATGTACAAACCTCTCAAAAATCAACAGTTGAAAACCAAGAAATTCAAGTACAAAATGGACAAAAGACACATGAATAAATATTTCACTGAGTAGAATATTAATATGGCAAATAAGTACATGAAAACATGTTTGAAATCATTAGCCACTAGGAAAATGCAAATCAAAACACAATGAGATATTACTACACAACAATTCATATGGCGAAAATGAAAAGTAGTGGCCTAGTAATTGCCATTCTGCATGGCATGAGACGGTATTATGTCATTGTCATTTTGATTTGCTTTTCTCCAATGATCAGTGATATGGAGCTTTTTGTCATGTTTTTTGTCCACATGAATGTCTTCTTTTAAGAAGTGTCTGTTCAAGTTTTTTGCCCACTTTTTAATGGAGCTATTTTCTCTCAGTGAGAGCCATTTTTCTCACATTTTCTCTCAGTGAAATTTCTCTCTTGTCAACTTAAGCAAGTTTACAAGAAAAAAACAAATTCTGGAAATTAGAACTTTGTCAGATGGATAGATTGCAAAAACTTTCTCCCATTCTGTAGGTTGTTTTTTCATTCTGATGATAGCCTTTTTTTTGTAGTGTAGAAGCTCTTTAGTTTAATTAGATCCCATTTGTCAGTTCTCACTTTAGTTGCAATTGTTTTTGATGATTTAATCATGAAATCTTTATCCATGTCTATGTCCTGAATATCTGAATGGTATTGCCTAGATTTTTTTCCTAGTGTTTTTATAGTTTTGGATTTTACATTAGTCTTTAACTCATCTTGAGTTAATTTTTTTGTAAGTGTAAGAGAAGGGTCCAGTTTCACTTGTCTGCATATGGCTAACCAGTTTTCCCAGCACCATTTATTAAATAGGGAATCCTTTCCCCATTGTCTTGGTCAGGTTTGTCAAAGATCAGATGGTTGTAAGTGTGCTGTATTATTTCTGAGTTCTCTATTCTGTTCCATTGGTCTATGCACCTGTTTTTGTAAAAATACCATGCTGTTTTGGCTACTATAACCCAGTAGTATAGTTTAAAGTCAGGTAGTATGATGCCTCCAGCTTTGTTCTTTTTTGGTTATACAGGCTCTTTTTTGGTTCCATATGAATTTTAAAATAGTTTCTTCTAATTCCGTGACTAATGTCAATGGTACTTTACTGGGACTAGCATTGAATCTATAAATTACTTTGAACAGTATGGTCATTTTCATGATACCGGTTCTTCCTATCCATGAACATGGAATGGTTTTCCATTTGTTTGTGTCATCTCTGATTTCCTTAACCAGTGGTTTGTAGTTCTTGAATAGGTCCTTCACTTCGTTAGCTGTATTTCTAGGATTTCTAGGCATTTTATTCTTTTCGTAGCAATTGTGAATGGAAGTTCATTCACTGTGGAAGACAATGTGGTGATTCCTCAAATATTTAGAACTGACTATACCATGCAACCCAGCAGTCCCATTACTAGGTACGTACCCAAAGAATATAAATCATTCTATTATAAAGATACATGCATATTCATTGTAGCACTATTTACAGTAGCAAAAGACAGGGAATCAACCCAAGTTCAGTCATTAATGGTAGACTGGATTAAAAAAAAGTACATATACACCATGGAATACTATGTAGCCATAAAAAGGAACAAGATAATAGCCTTTGCAGGGACATGGATGAAGCTGAAGCCATTATCCTCAGCAGACTAATACAGGAACAGAAAACCAAACACCTCATCTTCTCACTAATAAGTGGGAGCTGAACAATGAGAACACATGGACACATGGAGGGGAAGAACACACATTGGGGCTTATTGCAGCAGGGTGTGGGTGGAGGAGAGCATCAGGAAAAACAGCTAATGCATGCTGGGTTTAATACCTAGGTGATAGGTTAATAGGTAAGCCACCATGGCACGCATTTGCCTACGTAACAAACTTGTACATCCTGCACACGTCCCCAGAAGTTAAAATTTTAAAAAAGAAAAATAAAGAAAATTCGTGGAAATACCAAATGAAGACTGTATCAATTCTATTACTGTCACAAACATCAAAGTCCAAACTGGGGACTGGCATGTAGTCAAATAAGCAAATGTCTATACTAGTAGACAGTGCTGAACAGAAAGAAGTATGGTGGAAGGAAGTATTGCATTGTTCTGTCGAGGAATGTCCTCAATATATTTGTGAATGGGTAAATTTATAAGTGGATACATTTCTGTAGGTGGAATGCAGAATAAATTACAGTTGCACAATTATTACCTCTAAGGATCAGTAAGGATAAAAGGGATGGAGAGTCACGTCTCACTACATTACATCTCTTTACTACCTTGTTTCAAAAGTGTTAAGAGTGTCCTTCATTGAATGGAGAAGAAGCATAACTATAGATTGGGAAATGTCTTACTGAAAAAAGCTCATTTGGCAAAACCTCACAAGTATTCAGAAGAACACACAGCACTCAGAAATACAGGAGTGCTTTATAAACGCCTAATGCACTGGACGCAAAAGTCCTAATGACTCCTTTCATAGATTTAGGGAAGTAAGCTTAGGGGCAGAGAAATATTGACTATAAGATGAACAGCAGAATGTATCCAATTGTATATATCAAATTCTCACAGAAATTTTGCCTTGTTTATCATTATCACTGTCAACTCAAAGCCTGACATTTGTGGCAGATAACTCAGCTGAAGTTACAGTCAGAGATGATGATTTTTCTAGCCTTACTGCTAGATATTCCTGCTGTTTTGCCTAGATATCATGGCAAAAAGACTTGAAAACAATGCTTCCATATGCCACAATTGCTTGAATTATTCCTCAGATTGTCTTGTCATTTTTCATATGTAGGAACTCATTAGACACCTAGAGGAAGAACATATGGAGGGGAACAATGATGCTATTGGTAGAAAATGCTATGTATTTATATTCTAAAAGTCCTTGCTGTAAAAAGCTTACTAGAAATAGCAAAGGCTTCTTTTCCATGCATTAGAGAGTGACATAATTATCACTGTCTTAGACACAAACACAGCATATTCTCTATTGAAACAGTACATTTACTTGCCTCCTGGACAGAAGGGTTGTCTTCTCAATAATTTTTTTTTCAAATAATGAGAGTCTAGTTAGTGTGGTTCCTAATTCATAAATCATAATTCTTCTGTAGAAGAGAGGATGCTGCTGAATTTCCTGTAGGTATGACCTCCCTCAGTGGAAAAATACTTTAAAAAGACAAGTGTTTAGCTTAGCAGTTCAGAGCTTGGAATCTGCAACCAGAAAGACTTGGGTTCTAGTTTAGATCCACTGCTTAGTACAAGTTATTAATGGTATCTAAGTACCAATTTCTTTGTCTTTAAAATAAGGCCAGTAGTATCGAATTCAGCAGTTGTGAGAATTTAACAAAATAACAAGTCAGGCAGGTTCTGGCAGGTAAGTTGTTATCATGCTCATTATTATTACTGGGCAGTTTCAGAACTGATACATTTATTTCAAAAGTACTTTTATTCTGCTAGGCTAAAAAGTAAAAGAAGGGGACATTTCAGATAATGGAAACTTTATTTCTTCACTAGAAGAAATAAAAGAGAAAACAAGTATGTATCCAGCTTCATATCAGTGAAAATAAAAGTGTTGAAATGTATTTCATTGTTTTATTGTTACTGAGTTTGTTCTCTACTATTTGTCAGATTTTTAATGTTATTGTCATCTAATTACATAATATTTTATTACATTATTATCATTTTTGTCTATTTACATATATAATAACTGACTGGAATATTTATATAATATTTCCATAATATTTATATAATATTCCAACCAGTTATTTTACCAGGAGATGCTTCTTTTGGGTATCTTGCTGTTGTGGTAGTCACCTGTTTGCAGTGGCACCTTTGTTAAAGAAGACCTGTTGTGAAGTGTAATACAAGAGCCTGTTTGGTTTTGAGTTCTGTTATTTGAAGTCCTTGGCTTTCTCTCTGTCACTGATGTTAATGGAAAGTTTTCTGTAAGAACAATAATTTTCTTTGAGACATGATGACGGGGAAAGAATTTGAAACCAGATTTGAAAACCAGCATTTGTGTAATGTTTTATAATATTTAATAGATCTGTAAATACTAAAATTGCAAGGACAAAGTATACCTTGAACTCACACTAGGCTTCTTCTAGGGTACCAGTGGACTTGATAGTAAGTTTTCTTTGTTTTGAATCTATCTTCAGGAAGCTGAGAAAAGCAGAAACCTGGGAATTATGGATTCAGTATTATAAATGTAAGTCTGAATAAAAAGGGATGTGAAAAGTAATTTTTTTATAATTGTATGCTTTGATCAGATTATCTGGGCATTTACCATCTTTCCACTTTTTTAAAGCTTTTTAGGGATAAGCAATAAGCTATTATTCCAGAAGACAAAACTCACTTTTTTTCCTTTCCTGAGGAACAGGTTGAAAGGATAATTGTTTCTAGTGTCTTACCAGGTAGATGACTGTTGAGAATTTTGAGGATATCATATTTTTCTATTTGTCAATCTCATAGATAGAAAAATATATATACTATAATAGGCTTCAACATTAATCTGGAGTTTTAAATTAATCCAATAGTAAACTGGTAATCATAGTATTTGTTATGTAGAGACAAGACAATTGAAAGCAATTGCCTGAAATGGGCTATTTCATTAAGAATCATAAGTCCAAAGAAAGAATGTCACCTAAAAAGCGAACAGTCATCTGTGTCTTTAGTTACACATACCAAGTAAAATATGGAGTTTAATTATTCAAATAGTTGAAACTAAGAAGAAGCTTATTGTATCTTTTGCTTTTAAGGTAAAAATTGTCTTGACAGGGACAATGAAATAATTGTGTAGAATATAAGAAACTGAGCATTGCTTGGCTGAGAAAGAAGGAATTAGTAATTTGGTAATATTGAGGTCAAACAATGCTGAAGGCTGATTTTTATGTTAAATAACTTTTTCTATAAAAGAATGGTTGTACTTAAAATTTATAGCATTGCTTATGGAACCAAAAAGGATAATACAAAGGGGAAAAATGTCAGGATATCCATTGGCTCTATTATATTATAGCAGCTTACAGCTATTTTATGGATTTATTGTAATAGTTTTAAAAGGTCATTGAAATATGAAGACAATCATCAGGTTTGGCTCTTTAAGAATTTGCTTTCAGCAAAGTATGTCAATGCTTATGTGGATGGAACTTCCAGGATCAAACCCAGGTTGATGATTTGATCCAGACTTACTAAATATTTTTAGCTTTTTACTCTGATCTGGTTTGGGATAAAACCCCAGTTCAGTTCAGTCTGGGACTGACCCTCCTGGTATCCTGCCCAGATATATAGGCCCTCCACAAGACACAATAATGTCCGGGAAACAATATATCTCATTTTCCAAAAAAAAATTCGAATTTCATTTTTGTTATATCCTTCCCTGGCTTTGGTATCAAGGGGATACTGGCTTTATAAAGTAAGTTAGAGAGAATTCTCTCTTATTTTTTGGAGCAGTTTTAGTTTAATGGGTAGCAATTCTTCTTTGAATATCTGGTGGGATTTGATTGAATACATTTAGCTATGGGCTTTTTTTTTGTTGGCATTCTTTTTTTATTACTTATTTCGTCTCACTACTTGTTATTGATGTTTTCAGGATTTCTATGTCTTCCTGATTTAAGCAAAGGGGCATTGTATGTTTCCAGGAATTTATCAATTTCCACATGGCTTGGGAGGCCTCATAATTATGGTGGAGAGCAAAAGAGAAGCAAAGGAGTGTCTTACATGGTGGCAGACAAGAGGGCTTGTGCAGGGGAATTCCCATTTATGAAACCATTGGATCTCATGAGACTTATTCACTATCCTGAGAACAGCACAGGAAAGACAGACTCCAATGATTCAATTACCTCCCATTGGGTCCCTCCCACTACATGTGGGAATTATGGATGCTACAATTCAAGCTGAGATTTGGGTGGGGACATGGTCAAATTATATCAAGTTCCTTTTGTGCCACCTGTGACAAAGATGCTTTGGTTTGTGTCTAGAGTCCATGTGTGGGATTTGACACATTCCCTACTGGCCTGGCACCTGAATTTACTATAAGGGTCTCTATATGTGTCTATCAAAACTAGTTACTCTGTTACTATTCCATGAAGCAACTCTGCTTTCCTAGTGGGGTGTCACAAGGCATATTCCTAATCAATTCACCTCAGCACCTTATTTCATATTTCTTTCACTTCCAGAAAAATGGTATACAATGACTAAATAGCTCTTGAACTTAGACTTTGAGGCATACCCAAGTTTAATCTAATTTTAAAGCAATAATCACCACATGATTGAAAGTGTGATGGGAAATGTTAATGCATCAAAGCAGGAACACATTACATTTCATTAAATGTAGGAAAAATCTGTTTGATAGGCAGTAAACACTAAGAATGAGAGTTCTAATATTTTACAAATAGATCTCTAATTTTCTTTGTTGAGTCATATAGTATTTCTCACATGGAATTTAAATGTCAATAACATTGAGGTGGCAGTTCAATTTCTGTTTAAGTCATTAAAGTATTTGCCCCAACTAAAAGTTATAAAATATTCTATATGTTTGTGACTCACAGTAATCTAAAAATTAACTTCACTTTATATGAAATGAAGTGCTGTCATTTCCTGGAGTGGGTAAAAAATAATGAGGACCATGTTTAAAAATGTAGTAGTGATACCAAATTGCACTTTAATAAAATTATGTGTTTAATTGACAGAATTCTGTTCAAGTAATCTGTATATTAAAGTACCATCATTATTTTTAAATTTCTTGGCCTTTATTTATTTTTATCTAATGTCTATTTTGGATAGCATAACCTCAAATAAATCAGATTGCTTAATTAAATGGTTTTCTAATATCTTTTATGAGATATTAAACAATAACAACAACAAAGAAAAACCAAAACTCTTAAGAATTCCTAGAATTTATACTGAGTCAGTAGCAAACATTTCACTTATTTTTTTTATTTCAGCCACATTCTTTTGTAAAAGTTCCTAAAGTGACATTAATAATTGCCTAATGTGGAGGAACTATGATTTTTTTCTTTATTTTCAAAAGTATGTATATTTTATTATAATAGACAGATTATTAAAATCTCCATAAAGAGTTTCTTTGTCTCAAAGCTGGTATTTTATATAAATGTATTTTGTTTGGTGAATAGATAAAAACTCATTCAACTCATTAACAACAAAAGCTCTCGTGCCTTAAGCTCCTTTTCCCACTACAGGACTGTCAAGGTGACTTCTCTTTCTGTTTCAATTGCTCAGTTTTGCCATCGTTTAACTATTACAGTGATGGAAGGCTAGCACTATACTTATTTATGTAGGGTGACATTTCAGGAGAGAGAAACCTCCCCCACTGAGTGTGGAAGGAAATGTTAAATTAATGGATACAAAAAAGATGCCATAAAATAATGAAATGAACAGATTATGTTTTGAAAGAAGATTTGAAAATCACAAAATATCAATTATTCCTAATAAGGGGCAAATCATTACCAGTGACTGTTCTGTGCTTAGTTTGCTTTCTGCCATTTTGTCCGAGTCACTAGATAGAGACTCTCGTTTTCACTTTGTAAACTGGTGACATTTTTCCTCATGTCCTTGAAAATAAGTAATGGAGCCTTTTAGATCTGTTTTTGCATGGCGTTTAACTTGAAATACAATGGAGCTAGAGATGACATTTGGAATGGGCTAATATATTTTGTTAAATGGCACTTTCAATAAGCTCTCTAAGCTTCATTACCAGTTTCCCAGGCATAGTGAGTCTCAGATGTTTTGGCCATCAATCACTGCTGAAACATATAGGAAAACATAATCTTGAAATGTTTTAGAAGTGTACATATTTACTATCAATTTAAATACTAATGAAAGACATTCAGATTGTAGACCTGTGAAGAGACTGCAGCAATATTTTACAATAATTTATAATAATGGTCAAGATTGTTCTTAAACCCTGGGTCAGTCAGAAGTTAAACAATGGTAAATAACTGTCAAATGCTTTTTTGGCTGCTTACCATGTGCCAGGTACTGTGCTAAGTGCTTTCTGCATATCCTCTCATTTAATCCTCAATCATACCATAAAATATGCACAATATCCCTTTTACAGAAGAGAAGACTGAGCCCTAAACTGTTTAAATAACTTGGCTGGATTCAAAACTGGCAAGTAGTGGGTACATGCTGGCCTGTCTGCGAAGTCTTTATCTTTAACCAGAGTATAAGTATACCTCCTTTATTTTGCTATGCTATTTTCCTTACTGTGTTCTTCTCCTTAACATAAGAAATACTGATACACAAATAAAACTGTGTTAGAAGACATTTATTTTTGTAGGTATAAAGGAGCAGTTTCTTGCCAGTGAAATGAACTTAAAATCCTAAGGAATACTGTCAGAAGGGTCTTTTTAAGATGGTGCAGCCCTGTTTCTATGCAGCATTCCAAAGATGCTGCCACCGCTTATAGGTCTGGAGAGTTATAGAGTCATTCTATTTTTTTTTTTTTTTTTAGAATAACCTATTTTCCTTATTTGGTTGTTGCTGAGATCAAATGTGATGGGAAACTAAGAGTGGTACTTGGATTCTTATAACTTTCAAATTATCAAGTTCAAAAGAGTCATGTTAAATATGCCCTTTTAACTCTGCTTTTGGATATACTGCCATAAGATTAATAGTATATTCCCTCTTTTCCCAGATCAGGAAATCCTGACAGTTGTCATGAAATCCTCTGACACATTTCCAATGTTTTATTAGTATGGAAATGGTGAAAATAAATGGATCATACAGATAAAAGCAGTTGTCAGTATGGCTATATGTTCGTGAGAAAACATTGGTTACTAGTCATTGCACAAAACTAGATAAAATGAATTGCATAGTATTTGTAAAACTATTAATAAATGACAATCATTTACCCGGAAATTCTCCAACCATCTATTTCTCTCAAACCCCAAATAAAATGTATTTTTATTTATTAAATTCAGTTATACTATGTATACACCAAATTTTGCTCTCTACTTCTTCCAGTGGAATATTAGCAGAAATGAAAAGCCCTTTGGACTGGGCTTTCACATAGTCTTTTTCTTGCTCTCTTTCTCTTTTTCACTGGTTATTTTGACTGGAAACTCACTTGTACCATGCCCAGAGGGAAGCAGAACCATCCTTCTGGCCTAACCCCTAGATGGCTTGAAGGAATGGAGCCTGCACACCAATCTTGTAAGATTCTAAGAAGTAAACTTCTATCTTATTTGAACCATTGCTTTCTGAATATCCTTGCAATAGCAATTTGGTATTCATTCCTAATTTGAAAATTAAAGACATATTTAATTTAGATTACATTTGTTAAATGCCTCTACTCTCATCTTTGCATGTATAATACAGAGTTTGATTGTTTTTAAATTCTCTTTTCTGTTGTAAACAAGTCTGCACACCACATTGATGTGATCATTTCCTTGGGTCAGCCTTGTTATCCAGGTTGCTGATAATTTTATACTGTCTGTCTATAGTGTCTATACAGTTCAGCTATTAAAGATGTGGAGTCTTTACCAGCTATATTAATATAGCACTAGCCTATATTTTCCTGTTTGCTACTGAACAGTTACATGTGATCCCTTCATTATCTTCCAATCTTCATTTAGTCTCCTGCAATGAAAGGCCACTTGTCATTTCTCTTTAGGGTTTGGTGGCATTGGCATATGAGGATAATCGGATCTTGTGTTATTGGGTAGTCTGGCATGGAGGTGAGTGAGCTTCAACTGAGTCTTGTGAAAAATACCCTGTCATTACTCATACTTCATACTATTTTTACTTTTTTGCTGTACTACTGTATTATCTAATTATTAGGTTTATAATACATTTTTGATTATGGATATTTTGGTTCTCTTTCCCTTTAAATATTTTCCAGAAGATGTAATTTATCCATATCCAAAGAGAAATGAGGCTATATAACACAAATCAATAAGGTTTTGCATGTTTTTATTTAGTGTGTAATTATTTTGCCAAAATAATGACAAAATCAGAATGGTTTTTGTAAAGTTTCTGATCATAAACATAGTAAAAATAAAGGTTATAATATCCAAATTAGTAGGAGCCTTTTGTTTACTCCAAAATGCAGCAATTTTCATTACACCTTTCCAATTTCATGTCCTTTAAAATTAGAAAGAAAAAAATCCACTGAATATCATGCAATTAGGAGAAGTGCCATTAGGCAAGGGGTTGATGGATTGGCTGGAGAAAGCTGGAAGCTTGAAATGACTCTCTACAAGGTGATCAAGAACACAGCACCTGGATGAAGGGAGGAGCAGGAGAAAAGGTGGCGACAGTAAGCAAGGAGGTGAGTTAATGCTTTAGAACTGTCAGACTATTCAATATGAGAATCAATGTCATCAGCTGAAAGAAGCCAAGGGGAGCAGGATGGTCTCAGAAGAGAGAAAAATAAACTCATGGAGATGGGTATTCAGATTGAGGGATGTACGTTTCCTCTGCAGGAAGGTTGGTTGGGACAAATTCTGATGTACTAAGCCCCATTAAACTAGCTTACAGACACTTTGCAGGAAAACTAGGGCAGGTGAAAAAATGACACTTCTTTACACATTTACCACTGATTGGACATTTTAATGTACTATAATTCTAAGTAAAATTCTACAGTACCATTAGTTTTATTTATTAGTTTGGTTTTATTCCAGATAATCTCCAGAGTTCTTGCAGGTTGGATTATGGAGGCAAAAGTTTAGGTATACCAATCAGACAACTCAATATCAGGCAAGGCCATGTTTACGTTGTGCTCCAGATCTCATTTCTCTAAGCCCCCATCTATTAAATAGTAAAAAAAAAAAAAAATTACCATTTTCCATTGTTTATTTCTTCCATTGTTTTTTTCCCCAAACCTTAAAGATACTCATCAACGTAGAGATGTGCTTCTCACCTGGAGGTCTGTGGTCCACTTGGAATGAAACTCACCAACATCTTAGTTGGTCAGACAGGCTATGATGTTAGTAGGAAAACAAGAAGTCTGTGGCTTCTGCTGTAAGTTACATGGCCAGGTTTAGTGGGTGAGAAAGGGAATGATCCTGCTTTCATTCAGCCAAGGGATGTACTGTAGCACCCTTTGGGACCAACAGTGGTGTTATGTCTCTTTGGGGGTTTTGCCTTATGGTATTTCCACAAAATTTGCAGAGGTTGTCAGGGAGACTAGGCCAGCATGGATTCCACTGTCAGTGCAAGTCCTGCTGGAGTCTAACTGTATCCTCCAAACACTCTTTGGTTTTGGAATTGCAGGTACATCATTATTCGAGGCTATTTTATGATATTCCCTCTCCAGAGTACTGTTATTCATTTTGAAGTTAAGTTTCAATGGGATTGTTGTAGTGCATCAGAAACATTTTTATGTTAATATACCTCAGAGAATGTCCTTTTTTGCCTGGAAACTGTTCAGTTTCCCAGGAAAGATATATTGCAAATGGGAAATTTCAAAGATGAGCATTACCTAACTTCATGTATGAGCATCCAAGAGTTTAATAAACGTTGTCCAGAGGTGGGTGTTGAGAGTGTTTAAAAAATAGCATTTTGGCCCAGGACATAAATGGAAAATTGTAATGTTCTGTTATTCTAAATAACTTGGGGATTTGAGAGAGAATACACTAAAACATAGCTTAATAAAACTTGGCAATTTGGGTTTCTTGTTCTGGTAATAACCATCATATCTGTGTCCTCATTGACACGAATATATGAAATGCCCTTTGAGTTGGACATTGTGCTGATTGCAATATGTAGTGCAAAAATGATCCACCTAAGGCATTCAAAAATTTGCTAAAAAACATTTTGGGGGATAACATTTTCTGAAATCTGTATTTCATATCGTCCCCATTCTTACCTTTATATTTCATTTCTTAGTCTGGTTACGACTTGAAGTGTTAATTCTTAATCTCCTTAAAGACCTTTCTGTGACTTTGCTGGGACTTGGTAGAGAAGAACAACTAAAAAGGAGCACATTAAATTAAGGCATTAATTAAGAGTGCCACAGGACACAATTCAGAATCATGGGCAATTTACAGTCTTGTGTGTGAATTAGCACTACCGTACTGTATTTCAAAAGGTTACAGATAAAAGTAAAGTTGTTCTTCCCAAGGAAATCTAGATATTGTACTTAGTATGAAAAACAGAAAAAGATAGAGTTTATGCTTTCAAAGAAAAAAAAAAGCTAAGTGAGGGCAAATATCAGTGACATTCGAAACGGGATTGAGAAGACTGCTGCTATAATTTATATGGCTCATCCAAGTGCAGTTTTGAAATAAAGCATTCAAAACTTTGCTAAATGAGATTGCTCATTTCCATATAAAATAGGCAAAAGCTAATACCTGCTATAAAAGACTCACTGGAAAGTGGCCTCTCTCACTGTTCTGTACCCCTTCAGGACATCAGTGTCATTACAGGGAGATTTCTAGTAGCCAAATGTTGTTCTTTCCTTTATAGAGTGTTAGGGATTATTAAACAATTAGAATTGTGTACTGTTCATCATGGAATCATTGGGGAAGAAATACCAAATATTTGGAATGGTGGAGGCTTTTGTTTTTCTTTTCAATAGTTAAAAAAATGAGAATGTATACGTGGTGTCCATAGTTAACTTGAATAAATTAGCAAGCTGGCAGGTAACATTAAGTGAAGAAAATGAACTCTTTTGAAAAAATGACTTTTACATAAAACAAGCTAAGCAAAATATTCTGGCTAATAATATATTATTTATAGGTTTTATAAAACATAAAATTACAAAAACTCTTTGTGTTCAAGCTAGAGCTAATTTAACTGAATTGTGTTTTTTGTGAGTGAAATTTGTCACTGGTGTTTGATCATACCCATGTCTTCTTCCTCTGAGGTCTAATGCTCTCTGTTCCTGACATCAATTACCCACTTCTGCCCTTCTAAAATAGCATTTAATGCTCTATTTATCTCTTTTAACTTTGCCTTCCTCCTTCAGCCCTTCATTTAAATCTATTCTTAATTATCAGAATGAAAGAGAGTGGGATAAATCTGTTACACATCTATGCCTAACTATCATGTGATTGACATGTAGTTTTAAATGTTATGTGTTCAGAAGTATTTGTATGACCTGCAACAATAATCTCTAGTGTTGGAAAAAGACACTGTCTTAGTGCATTTGGACTGCTATAACCCATGCCTTCAAATGAGTAATTCATAAACAACATAAATGTATTGATCATAGTTTTGAAAGCTGGAAAGTCCAAGATCACAGTACCAGTAGATTTCATGTTTGGTGATGGCTCTCTGTTTTATAGACAGCATCTTGTTGCTGTGTCCTTGAATGCAGATGATATGGTTTGGCTGTGCCCCCACTCAAATCTCATCATGAATTGTAGTTCCCATAATCCTCATGCATTGTGGGAGGGACCCGGTGGGAGGTAATTGAATCATGGGGGCAGTTTGCCTCATCCTATTCTTGTGATAGTAAATTCTCATGAGATCTTTTTCTTATATAAGGGGTGAGATCTGATAATTATATAAGGGACTTCCCCACTTCACTTGGTTCTCACACTTCTTCCTGTGAAGAAGGGCATGTTGGCTTCCCCTTCCACTGTGATCATAAGTTTCCTGAGGCCTCACCAGCCATGGAGAACTATGAGTCAATTAAATTGCTTTCCTTTATAAATTATCCAGTCTTGGGCAGTTCTGTATAGCACCATAATATTGTTTGGCTGTGTTCCCACCCAAATTTCATCTTGAATTGTTGTTCCCATAATCCCCCTGTGTCATGGGAGATACTCGGTGGTAGGTAATTGAGTCATGGGGGTGGTGACCCTTATTCTGGTCTCTTGATAGTGAGTTCTCATGAGATCTGATGGTTTTATACTTTACTCCTCCTTTGCTTGGCACTTCTCCTTCCTGCTGCTATGTGAAGAAGGATATGTTTGCATCCCCCTTCTGCTGTGATTATAAGTTTCCTGAGGCCTCCCCAACTGTGCTGAATTGTGAGTCCATTAAACCTCTTTCCTTTATAAATTACCCAGTCTCAGGTATGTCCTTATTAGTAGCATCAGAACAGACTAATACAGTAAATTGGTAATGCCAATAGTGGTGGGCTGCTATAAAGATATCCAAAAATGTTGAAGTGACTTTGGAGCAGGGTAACAGGGAGAGGTTAAAACAGTTTGTAGGCCTTGGAAGAAGACAGAAAAATGTGGGAAAGTTGGGAATGTCATAGAAACTTAGAGGGCTCAGAAGATAGAAATTAGTGGAAAAATCTGGAATTTCCTACACACTTGTTGAATGGCTTGTACCAAAATGATGATAGTGATATGGACAATGAAATTTAGGCTGAGGTGATCTCAGATGGAGATTGGGAACTTGTTGGGAACTGGAGAAAAGGTCACTGTAGCTATGCAGAGACTGGTAGCATTTTGCCCCTGCCTCAGAGATCTGTGGGAGTTTGAATTTGAGAGAAATAATTTAGGGTATCTGGCAGAAGAAATTTCCAAGTGGCAAAGCATTCAAGAGGAAGTAGACCAATAAAGTTTGGAAAATTTGCAGCCTGGCTATGTGAAAGAAAAGAAAAACCTATTTTCTGGGGAGAAATTAAAGCCAGCTGCAGAAATTTGCAGAGACAATGAGGAGCTGAATGTTAAGCACTAAAACAATAGGGAAAGTGTCTCAGGGGCATGAAAGAAACCTTCACAACAGCCCCTCTCATCAAAAGTTCAGACACCAAGGAGGAATAAGTGGTTTGTGGGCTGGGCCCAGGACCCTCTTGCTCTGTGCAGCCTCAAGACATGGAGCCCTGAGTCCCAGCTACTTTAGCTCTAGCCATGGCTAAAGGGGCCAAGGTACATCTCAGGCCATTGCATCAGAGGGTGCAAGCTCCATGCCTTGGAGGCTTACATGTGGTGTTGGGCCTGTGGGTGCACAGAAGTCAAGAATTCAGGTTGAGGAACCTTTGCCTAGATTTCAGCAGATGTATGGAAATACCTGGATGTCCAAGCAGAAGTCTGCTGCAGGGTTGGAGCCCTCGTGGATAACCTCTGCTAGGGCTGTGTGGATGAGAAAGGTAGGTTTGGAGTCCCCACACAGAGTCCCCACTGGGGCATTGCCTAGTGGAGCTGTGAGAAGAGGGCCACTGTTCTCCAGATCCCATAATGGTATATCCACCAATAACTTGCCCCTTGTGCCTGAAAAAGCTGCAGACACTTAGCAACAACCATGAATGCAGCTGGAAGGAGGGCTGTACCCAGCAAAGTCATAGTGGCAGAGCTTCCCAAGGACATTAGAGTACACTTCTTTCATTAGTGTGACCTGGATGTAAGACATGGAGTCAAAGGAGATTATTTGGAACTCTATGGTTTAATGACTGCCCTGTTGGATTTTGAATTTGCTTGGGGGCTGTAGCTCCTTAGTTTGGCTAATTTCACCCACTT